ATATATATAATATATAAATAATATATATATATATATATATATATATATATATATATATATACATATATAAATAATATATATATATATATATATATATACATATATAAATAATATATATATATAACATATGTTAATATCAGAAAAAGATAATAACAAAGGGGAGGAAAAGAGTCTTGATCCTGCACATGAGCATTTGTGGGCTAGGCCTACAAGTCACACACCCAAGAGTTGCCACTCAGTCAAGCCTCATGCCCCAATTTTGGTGCATATGTAGGCCAGGAGGCACCTGGATCCAATTGGTTAAGAAAAACTAAGTAAAACATCAATGTATAATGTTTACTAGAAGGAGCAGGCTGTGACCAAAAACTATGAATGGAAATTAGGCAACCCTATCTGCTGTCCATGTCCAGCAGATAGATTTTAGGTGAAAAACCAGCTTGTTTAAATAACTTCAGGAAGGAAGAAGGAAGAAAAAAATTTGCTAGGTCAATCCCGGGAACTTTACAATAAGTATTAGAAATAATAGTAATAATAATAATGTGAATGTTTTGCCAATTCAGTAGATAGCACTGGACTATTAGAAAGCCAACTGTTTAGTGGTAGGTTATGGAGATTTTCTTTAATCATTATATATGGTATTAATTTTTTAATGCACAATGAATATAGCTGGATTCTTTGAACAAATGAAAAGTAGACACATAGTAAACTTCAAATTTATAATACAAATCAAGAAGGAAGACAAGGTTGGAAAGCTACCTCCTGCTATAAATTAGTATTACTGGTCACTGATGCTTTAGAAGAGAACTTGAGTAATGCCCAGTTCACACTAGGGAACATGTTTCACAAAGATTGTTTGGAAATAACTGCTCTGCTTTTGATTTCAAAGTTTTAAAATTTTGCGTGACTTAAATTGAAAAAAATGTTTTGATATCATACTTTTAGTGATATTACAGACTACCAGTTGTTAATACATGTTGAAGAAATTGCAAATAGAAAAGTGAAGGGAGGAACAAGAAAACACATGAATATGCTGAAGGCCTTTTTGCTGTATCCCCTGAAAAAGCAATGCAGGGAAAAGGCCTTTGGCATATTCACATGTTTTCTTGTTCTTTCCTTTGTTCTATTTGCATGAATATATATTGTATATATTATATGTTATATAATGGTACATATGTTATGTATATTTTATATATATATATATATATATATATATATATATATATATATATACATTTATATATACATTTATATATATTATATATACATTTAATGTTTATCATATACGTGTGTACACGCACATATATATGAACATACATATTCATATATGTATATGTATATATATATATGTATATGTATAGGTATTATATATATATAAAATGCTTGCTAATGTGAACTGGGCTTAATGAACTCTTCATCATTAGATAGACCTGTAATTTTCTAAATGTAGCTAGAAGACATGTCTTGGATTTTGCTTCTCTGGTGTGTGAAGTAGGTGTTACAGAAATGGTATCCTTTACCATAGGGGCTCTTTGTTAAGGTTCATGATTCAAGTATCTTGGAAAGAAACCTGATGCATCCCTAGTCATCATCAGGAATTGAAGAATATAGATTACATAATTTGAATTTTGCAGTTGCCACTCATTTTTTGTATTTAGAAGTTGTACAGATGGCAAGTACTTGTTTTCTGAAACCTGTAAACTTCAGAGTGACTATTAATTTGATTGGGTATGATAGCATAATAGGAAATATGAAGTTTGTTTACATCAAATGTTTAATGTATCCCAAAACTAGGAACAAGAATAAGCAGATGAGTAAGATTAATCCAAGCTAGTAATCCTTCAGTATACATTATCCCATTCATTTTGAAAATGAAACCTGTTAGAAGGTAGAACCTAAAGGTCACCAGTTAGAACCCACATCAGATAGAACAAGGCTTTTTTTTTTTTTTTTTTTTTACTTAAAGTGCCTTATTTACTAAACCCTTAAGGTGTGGTACAATGTTAAAACTAGTTAAGAATAGAGTGGAACAAACAGTAAAAAAAAGTTGTATAGAAATTTTTATACACTCAGAAAACTGGAAAGTCACTGAACTCGTCATAGAATAGTACAGGAAAAACAGATTTAATAATTTTGCAGTTACAAACAGCTTGGTGAAAGTAGTGGTAGCTTATTAGGATAACCATTGACCTGCCTCACAGACCTTCCAGAGATTGAACACTTGGAACAACATAAGCATCAACACTTAATATTGTAGCTTTGCACCAGATTAGTGACGGGAGCATAACCCAAATGTGCCAACTTGATGATTGCTTTATTAGAGGCCTATGGTTATAAAATGTAGACAAGAGCAAGAGGAGTTTGATCAAATAACCCAATTAGTCCCTTATGGCTGCTAATGGTAGCAGTGTACGATGTCTCAGGAAATGAAGAAAAAAAAGTATCCAGTGATTCTTCATCTGGAAACCATGCCGAAAGGGAAACTAAAGGTATGGAAGGTTATCATTAGAATAATACAGAGACAAACAAGGACAATTAAAGATATAGTCAAAGATTTTTTTTAGAGAAATTGTGGTAGCAGGCTTTGGTAAATGAATGGATTGCCATCTCTGGTGAGCTTGTCCATAGTCATACAGAGTTGACATGCAATCTGCATGTGCAGCAATACTTTATGAAGCCACAAATGGGCATGCAACCAGCAAATAAGGTTGCCTAACCCCAAATGAAGACAAAGAGAGGAGGGCAGGAGGTGAATGCAACCATGAAGATAGAAAAGAGAAGGCACTGAGAGTAATAAAGTAAAGTAAAAAAAAAAAAGAGGGTAGACAGGGAGAAATGCAGAGCAAAATGCATGAAATGATAAGAGAACTGTACTCTCCCTCCCTCAGAAAAGAGTGTAGAACCAAGAAAATTCTCTTGGAAAGAATTTTCCCTAGTGATCAAATGTGAAAGGAAGCAGCATACACCACAAAGCATTTTCAAGTACATGAAATATGGAACTCAGAATGTTCTTGTTGGCTTATTTTACAATAATCACGATAATGTGAGTAGATTAGGGTTGGTGTGGTAATATTTTCCTTAATTTTTTGCCTTTTATTCTTACATCCTGTACCTCATTTTCTGTTACGAGAAAAATATCTACTTAGAAATGATTCTTAAGTTGGAATTTCAATTTAGGGGGGGGGGGGGGAAGCTTAAGAGTTAATACACTTATTTGGAAAATGAATTTAGAAGTGTTCATTTTTTTTAAGTTAACTTATTTTTTCTTGACTTTTTTTATTCATAAATGGGGTGACTGAATTGTGATTAGACTGATGCAGTTAAGATATCAAGTCAGGACTAGCTTGAGTTTAAGGAACCAGACTGGTTATGTCATCTTGAATTTTGCATCATGATTTTTACGGTCGTGGCATAACTACATGAGTTCTCCACAGCTGTAGTAATCTCCGTTTTGTCGTGATTAGAATGAGGCTCATATTCTTTCTCTGATTTTGATGTATATCAAGTCCAGTGTGTAACTGACATAATTCTGTTATGGAAAATAATTGCTGATGTTGCAGTTTATGTAAATTTACTCTGGCCTAATAATTACAATACCAAGGAAGCAATTTGCGATACTTGCATTACGTGTTCTTCCTTTCCAATAGAGCAGTACAAGACTTTTTAAAACTTCTTTTAGGAGGCATTATTTGTGTCCCCATGTTCTAGGCTAGCATATTGAGTTTATTATGCTGTGTTTAGTTTTTCTATGTTTTCATTATTTGATAATGTTAGTGTTAACTTCTCATTAGTCTTCATTTGTTTATAAGCAAGCCAAGAAAATGAATATTTTATAAAGAACTAGTGGGCATGGTAGTTTAGATTTCTTGAGCATAGGTCAGTTTTAAGCTTGCTATTGGTAAGCATTTGATTTTGTATTTTCTTCATTTTAAATGATATCTTGAAAGTAATGTTAATAAATATCATTATCATTATATTTACAATTATAATATTTTTTTTTTCACAGTAAGCACCAACATTCCCATTATTGATATTATTAGCTTGGTTCCCAGAACACATCTGTGTACATACATTTGAACTGATTAAATAAGGGTGTTGGACAGTGGCCATGCAACCATATAATCCCCAAAGGAGGCCTACTTTGGGAACCTCTGCTTTTGGTACTTCTCTCACTCATTTTGTCATAGTCACATCATATCCCTCCCCCTCCCAATACGCTGAGATCTCAGTAATGTGTGAAGTCTTGACCCCTTTGAATTTGTGTCAAGGTTAGAGACTATGTTTGGGAAAAAAAATATTAATAACAAAGAATGAATTCTACAAGAAAGTATTAAAATGAGGATTCACTCTTTGTTAACATTATTGAAACAAAGTTGAAATTCTTTGAAGTAGAACAAAGGGTTTAAGATAGAAAATATTTATTCACTTCTCATTTTTAAACCCTGATGGTATAGGGCCTGAACATTAGCATGAGTTACTTTGATTAAATTCAGTTGTTTGAAATAAGGCATTGTTGATGTGTATCTCATGGCAAAATGAGGAGTTTACACTTATGCCCAATGATACAAATTTGATTGTTGTCTCACATGAAAAAGTATAAAAGTATCAATCATAGAACTATTTAGTATACCTTTGGACTTATTTTGTGTGTATTACCAAAATTTGGCTGATTTCTCTCCTCCTTTATTTGAATTGGAAGTAAGACATTAGAAAATGTCAGATTTTTTTCATTTATTTATCTATATACTTTGTATTACTGATTTTTAGCCACATCTTTTGGACGAAGGCCTCTCACTTTTCTTTATCTAAATTAGTCAAAAAGCCTTAACATTGCAAGGTTGTGAGGGGAAAGTCTATTTTGTGAAAGGTCAAGGGGGATGGGGTGGTGTTGGTGGGATTGGGCTCTAGGATTGAGTATTGAGGAGGTGTGGGCCCAGCAAGTGCCTCTGTGTTGGGGACTACTTGGCTCTAACAGCTGTGTGTGTCACTCTGACTGGCTGCAGCAAGAAGCAGGCGTGTTTGGACAAAAACGAGCCGTCGGCTTACAAGTGCTGGAAGCCTGGAGGCTTCTACCACAAAGTGTACCGATATGGACTGGAGGAAAATCTAACATGCTGCCGCAACATCGACTTCTGTAACCTCAAGTTCCCATCTGCTTCCCCTGGGGGGCCACCCAAGCCTCGCTTGTTTCCAGAGGCTTCCTCCTCGGATGAGCCTGGCCAGAGGGGTGGGGAAGGTAAGGCAAGCATCAGCCCAGCCTCCCTTCCTGATATCATTCTGGAATCCTGTACAGCTCACTTTGAGTGTGAATAAAAGTGGGATATAAAGTTTCATTCCATTTAATTAAATGCAGGATCACTGGTGTGGATAATGGAAGAGAGGCTGGGTGATGGCACATGTGTGACTATTGGCTTCCCTGCCCCACCTTGTAGGCTCTGTACTAACCACTCACAAGTAATATGAATCCACCCCTTCATCCTGGTTTCTCGTGACTTACTATTCTACTTGTGCACTGCTATTATGCTTTAATAACCTGTAGCTCTCACTACCTCACTTTTCTTCTCTTTGTCTTCCTCATGCAGACTATTAGCAATTTCACCTTTGATGATGCCATTTAAAAACCAGGTCTCAGATTTATAAAGACATAAATGCTTCATTGAACATATTCTGTATGCAATATCTGATTCAATGCTTTTAAAGATAATGTCATGCTTATTTGTCTTTATGGATTGTAACATCTGGTAGAAAAAAAAGAGAAAAATTATCAACACTGCACAAATCTTCCAATGATACACAATTAGCATATATGATTGCCAGTGCTAAGGCAGTTTTACTGGTGTAGGATAAAAAAAAAAAGTATGGTAAAAGGTCTGTTCAACAGGATGAACTGGTAGGCTTTTTGGGGCTTTGGTCATTCTTCTTCGGCTGATGATTTACCTGTCTTCACCTGGAATGGACTGGTCACTCTTTTGGCTATATTGCACCTTAAGGTTGGCAGCTTGGTTGGCTGGAGAGACTGTGTCATGGCACAGTTTGTGATGGTTGCCAGGGACTGATTGTGTCATGACTCGCGCATAGTCAGTCGGTATACGAGAGCGGCTGGCAACCCCTTATCATGCAATCATATTTTTTGCACATAGAAGCATTTGCGGTGAGCATTGTGGGTCATTTTTGCTCGAGCTGACTTACTCCTCTCTGTGTGGTCATTTACTAACATGGTTGCTGGCCTTTGCTGCGTGAATGGAACTCCACTGAGGGAACATTTATGGTGTCGGGTCTAAGTATCTTGCAAATTCTTTTTGGAAAATAATATTTACTTTGTATATATATTATAATCAGTGAAAACTGTTTCATCTTCATCACGACAGCTTTGAAGAACTGATGTATAAATGTGAATATGTGTATGTTGAAAATATGTGTATATGATCTTATTTGTTATATTGTGCTTATTTATATATATAAATGACTATATATGTGTATGTATGTATATTCATATATATGTATATATTTATATATGCCAATATAGTTATGTGTATATAAAATCATATTTATATATATAAATGTGTTTTTATATATATATTCATATTCATATATATATTATTTATATATGTGTAAGGAATTATAAGTATATCGATACAGTAAGTCCCCTACTTACGAACATTCTACTTACAAACATTCCATGCATACAAAGAAATTTTTAAAATACTTAAGTCCAAAAAATTGTTTGAAAGATGCTAGCAAACTTCAAATTTCCCGGGCGCGAATATAGTTCACGAGTCTGCCACACTCACTCAACTGTGCGCATCACCTGCCTCAGTCGCCTGCCCTCCCGCCTTAAACACGAAAGCATCTGTTCACTGTGTCCTCGTGTACCGCCAATTTTTGTGCCATAATTTGCTTTACCTGTGCATCAATCCATCAAAAATACATATTGGGATTTATGTACTGGTATTCTTAATGTAAACAAAACTTTAAAACAATGGGAAAAAAGGCAATGGAGACCCGCCTTTGGATATACAAACAAATGGAGTTACAAACAGCCTCTCGGTCCCCATTATGTTCGTAAGTTGGGGACTTCTGTATATTTAATTAATAGATAGTATAACCGGAGTCTGCCACACTCACTCAACTGTGCGCATCACCTGCCTCAGTCGCCTGCCCTCCCGCCTTAAACACGAAAGCATCTGTTCACTGTGTCCTCGTGTACCGCCAATTTTTGTGCCATAATTTGCTTTACCTGTGCATCAATCCATCAAAAATACATATTGGGATTTATGTACTGGTATTCTTAATGTAAACAAAACTTTAAAACAATGGGAAAAAGGCAATGGAGACCCGCCTTTGGATATACAAACAAATGGAGTTACGAACAGCCTCTCTGTCCCCATTATGTTCGTAAGTTGGGGACTTTCTGTATATTTAATTATAGATATATAAGTATATTTAGATATATATATATGATTATGTATATATAAATGAATAGATGTATATGAATATATTTATACATTATATATAGTGAAATGATATATATATTAATAAATGCAAAATATACATATGTATTTAGATATTAATTTATATATATGTGTATTTATAAAGATATATTTGTACATATATAATATATTCATTTATATAAATAGTGGTGTATTTGAATATATGTATATGCGTATATATGTATATATGAATATAAATATCACTTGTGTGCATTTATATGTATATATATTTGTATATATAATGTATGCATATTCGTATGTGTATATTGATAGCATTTATATATATTTATATGATTATTTATATCATTTTAGATGTATATGAGTATAAAGATATTGTCATTCATATATGTCTATATGATATAAATATACTTATATATACCTAAACATACGTAGTGTAAGTATGTGTGTATGCGTACTTTGTAAGATTACTAATTTATCTACATTCACACCCACACACACACACGCACACACACACATGCATTATAAGATTTTGTAATTGATCTGTAAAAGATAAAAAGAAAAGTTAAATAATCAGTATTACCATATCATATGATTATAATAGATAGTTGTGTTTGTTTTTAGTGTTTACACTCACACACGCAAAGATTTTTTTACAAAGGTATGTAATCATGTTAACGTGGTATTTTGTATTTTTATAGACATTTGTAAATGAATACGTATATATGTACGTATACATGCACATGTACATTTTTGTATATATGTTTGTGTGTATATATTTATATATCCCTAATTGTTATTCATATGTACAGGTATGTATACATAGAAAAATATATACTTATATACATTTATATGCATATATATACATATACATATACATGTATATATACATGTATATACATATACTTACATAAATGTATACATATTTATACATAAATGTATATATATATATATACACTTATATCTGTTCAAGAATATATGCCAAGATATGTGTTTTGTATATTTGTACATATAACATCTATATGTACTTGTGCATGTTTCTGGGTATATACATGTGCGTATGTATTTATTAAGGGTACCATCTACTTTTGAGGCCATTTCTTAATTCAAACACACGCTTTCCTTGGTGTTAGATTTTTTTTTTTTCATATATAAATATATATACCAAGGTTTTCAGCTAAGAGTTTTTTCTTTATTTCACCTCACTCTGTTTTGTCTCTCCCACTTGTTCAAACTTTAATTTTATAATTTTTGAAATGGAACCTTAATATGGTATGTGAGTAGAAGAGATGTGAATTAAAGTCTCGTTTATGAATTTATAATTTCAGATACTTTGAATTTATATGTATTGATATATGTATGGATAAGTACATAAGTAAAGGAAAGAGAAAAAGACAGGATTCTAAAAGCTTAGGACTTGAGACTAATTGAGCCCATATTCTACTATTTGTTTACAGAAGTTAATATCAGAATCTTCATTTTTTTTTTTATCTGTATATAATGAGATCATTTTCCATCATTTTCTGTGAATGTTTTATAGTTTTCCAAAGTAATTTAATCAGAAAGTAAGAAATATTGGTAAAAATGGATATAGATACATTTCTTGCATTCAAAATCTACTTAAAATAACCATGAAACGTATACATTCTATATCACATTCGTTACTTTATTTATTTTGAATCACAGTTTGCGAAAAGGAACCTAGCACTATAATAAATTTTCTCTCGGATTCCTTAACAAGCAATCTGATAAAAGGTATCAGTATCATATATGATAGGAGAAACCAGATGCATGACAGGCGAAATGATTATGACTGCTGTGAGAAGTAGTTGGGCATCCTATCTGCTGCTTTTTAAGGAAGGGACTTTACATCCATGCTCTAAATTTGGTGAAGGAGAATGTCAGATAAGTTTTTGTGAATTAACGCTTTTATTTTGATATGTTTTATATTTGAAATTATCGCATCCATATTGATATTTGAGCTAAAAGGTTGCTGTCACACAGAAAGGTAACATTTTCCAAATGGACAATTTTAGAAATATTAGTATATGATGCTAAAATCAAAATAAAGAATGTGTTTAAAATAAATGATTTTGTATCAGTATAAAGATAACTGAGGATATAAAATATTAAACTATGTTAGTTTTCACATGTGTACAGAAAAACAAGAATCCTTAAATATGTAAAACATTTATAGAGAACGTTATAAGCATAAAATTGAATGAAAAAGCTTGTTTTGCAAACACTGTTTAGTGCGAAATTTTTAACGAGATGGTTTTCTGCCATTTTCTGGGTTACTATTAATTTTACAGAGCTCAGAACCATCCATTTTTAACGGCCATTTTATGAGGTAATTTTAATCCCAGGCGTGTCTAATTATGTCAGATATGTTAGATAGGAGAAATGGCTGAGGTGAGACAAAATTGGCCTCATAACAGCAGATGGTACCTTCAATTTATGTATACTTATATACTCATGTATTTGATTTCTTTGCTCTGGAAGTATACACAAAAATTAGTACTGAGAAAGTCTAGTATTACTGTTAACTGAAAAGTTTTTCCTCATACACTTTTTTATATTGAGATGATATTATCCTTTATAAATTTTCTGTGTATAGGTCATTTCCACTATAGATATTATATACTCATGTATTTGATTTCTTTGCTCTGGAAGTATACACAAAAATTAGTACTGAGAAAGTCTAGTATTACTGTTAACTGAAAAGTTTTTCCTCATACACTTTTTTATATTGAGATGATATTATCCTTTATAAATTTTCTGTGTATAG